ACCCGCAGCGACCATCTGAGCAAACACCAACGCACCCACGGAGAGCCAGGCCCGGGCCCCCCTCCCAGCGGCCCCAAGGAGCTGGGGGAGGGCCGCAGCGCCGGGGAGGAGGAGGCCAGTCAGACGCCCCGACCTTCCGCCTCGCCGGCACCCCCAGAGAAAGCCCGCGGAGGCAGCCCAGAGCAGAGCAGCCTGCTGGAGATCTGAGCCGCGGGGTCTCCAGCCCAGCCGCGCAGGCCCCCTCGGACTCCGCGGACGCCGGCCTGCCCCTCACCCCTCCGCCCGCCCGCGCATGCTGTCCTTGGCGGCGCTGTCCGGCCACCTGGGCCTGGGCTTCTCCCTGCACGCCTCTGCTCACCTCATCCCGCCTCGGCCGGCCCGCGGCCTCATCGCACGCCCTCACCTGCGCCTGATGTCTGCCCTCTGGCTTCCTACGCGCCCGCCCACCCGCCCGCGCGCGCACGGCTTCTCTCCTTTGCCCCGTCGGCTCTTTCCCTTGGGCTCCGTCTCACCCAGGCCCTGACGCGTCGTGTCCTTTCTGCTTCCCAAGCTTATTTGCCACTCCCCCTCAGCTCCCAGGCTCCATTCTTCCCAACTTCTGATTCCACCGCTTTCCACGCTTCAGAGCCTTTTACAGATGATGATGATGATGATGATGATAATTTATTGCCCCCTGGTGGCCTCTTCATTAGGAACCAGAGTTAGGGGACCTGGGGTTTAGTGACCTGGCAGGGAGTAGGGTGCCCCGAGGGGGGCAGACTGATGGGGATCCGGTCCCAAAGATGGGATGACCCCAGGGTCAGGGAGGCTGCCCCCACACCTGTATATTTAACCCCTATGTTCTAGGAGAAGTGAATAGTAATAATAATAATTCTATTTATCTAAGTTATGATGACAGGTCAGGAAGAATGAGCTGGGGAGGAAAGGAGGTCCATTTCTGCTAGGGGATTTTAGCCCAACGCATCTCTGTATAGAAAGTGTTAGTGGAGATCCTGTTGATAGAATTTCTATCATCAGGGTCTCAGTTAATGGGGTTTCTTTTGTAGTGGGTCTCTCTTAATGGGTTGGTTAGCTAGCTCTCTGTTAAAGAGTTGATTAGGGATCCCCATGAGGGGATCTCTAGTATTCCCAGTCCTAGTGAGAAGCTGTGAAACCTCAAGTCCTATGGAAGGGGGGGGGGCTGCAACATAGCCCAGCTCCCTAGGCCCCAGAGCAGCTTCCTCGCCCCCTCCCCATACCATGGGGGGCCCCCTCCCCATACCATGGGGGCCCCCTCCCCATCAGGCTAATCCCTTGTTGCTATGGTTATGGAGAGAGCAGCTGCCATTTAAGACAGGCTCTTGGGGAAGCCCACCTGACAGGAGGACGGTGGTCTGGCTGCGCCCCTCCTGCAGAATAGGTGGGGAAGGCTTTCTCTGGGATCAGACTCAAATAAACCAAGTATTTATTGGTGCCTACTCTGTGCAGGGCACTGTACTAGGCCCGGTGCCTAGAAGCCTCGAGAAAGAAGAATTTATATAGCTGAGGACAGAGGTCCCCAAGCTGACATGGGGGTGTGCTCCCCACCTGGGTCTTCTGATGCTCCCAACTTCACCTCCAGTGACTTTTAAAGCCGCTTCGTGCCTTCGAATGCCTTTCCGTGACTTTGGATCCTCCTTTTCTATCTCCTCCTTCCTCAAGGCCCCAGGTCAAAGGGTTAAAGCCGCTGGAGCTTGGGGAGAGGGTAAAATCGTGGAAGGGAAGGGGTCATGTCCTCATGGAGTCTTCTTTTTTTAATTTAATAAATAAAAGTTCGATTTTAAAATGCGGCTTGGTGAGAAAAGGGGAAGAAGGTCAACCGGTGGGTGCCAGGGGGGGACACACCAACTTTTCCTTGGCAAACCGGGGGCTCGCCCCGGGCGTTCTGTTGAGCTCACGGGCGCAGCCCGCGTCTGGACCGCTCGAGCTCCGCTGAATCAGGACGGCCGAGAGGTGTCCTCCGGCTTGGCCCCTCAGGCCCCGGCCGGAGCGCCTGCCCCGCGGCGGGCCACCGCGCAGGCC